GTTTATCGGCCAAATAAGTTTTAACATATCAGCCAAAAATCCAATATTGTGCATCCCTACTTAAAAAATCTCTGACCCTAAAAGTTCCAAGTCATCGTGCAATTTTATAAAAAAAACTCAAAAATATAATTAAACAGCACAACTAAATTGCAATTCAATTTGACATTTTAAGTAGGTCGTTCATACAATTTTGATTATTGATTAAAAATGCAACAAGAGAAATGTTTGATGTGTATTATTCACATCACGTATCAAAACGATGGCACTAATTTGTCAAAATAACAGCAATCAAAATGTCAAAAAGACAGTCCAATTTACTTTCATTTAAAAAAGGCTTCTCATTTTCCTTAGTTGGACAACCGGGAATTAAATAACCTGAAGGCAGTGGCAATCGATATCTGAGCAGGAGCGAGTGAGTGGTGGGGGTGAGTGCCGAGCTAACCAGGCAGTCGTACACGAGCAGGAGCTCACAGGCAGCCGCCATGAACAGAAGGAGGAGGTGCCTGGAGGTTCCACATGTGGTCGGACAACAACGAGCAGGACAGTGAATTCAGCGGAGAAGAGTCGTGCTCAGAACCGTCAAGTAAAGGGGAGGGTGATGCTTGACAGAAGTGTGTACAAATGTAGGTAAACGTAAATGTTTAACGATCCATTAAAATACACCGAAATGCAGGAAATCGCATCTAATTTATTAAAAAAACAGACCCCACCCCGCCCTGCATGCTATTTGCATTCCGGCATCGACCGGTTTACAAATTAAGCCCCGACCACCACGTCACGTTTTTTTTTCTCCTTCAAACGGTTGGTCCCCTTTACAAAGAAAAAATAAAAGGTGCACCGCTGGTGTCAAAGGAGAGATAATAGTAGTGTCATGCCTTCTAAAGATTCTGACTGCAGTTTGCCCGTTACAATGAGTTAAACATGAACGTATGAATGTTTGTTGGCTTAATGAGCAGCAACAAAAAGGGGAGATTTGTTCTTTCAGTCCAGCTGCAGAGTAGCAGCTGTTTTACATAAAGCCATCACTTCATAAAAAATATAGATACTTTTTACTAAAGTGGGATGTTTTTCCTTGTTAGAGTTTATTTTTAAGGTAAAAGATTTAATAATTTTGCAGCTATTGGTTAACCCACTGTGAGGGAACCCATCAGAATGCTAACTAATAATAAATTAATTAGGTAACAGTTACTTCAGCCCTAAGAGCCAAAATAACTAAATAAAGCAACCACGACTGTGAGGAATACATTCCCACAAAGATTCACTTCATGACACATCATCAACTTCAATCTAGATTTACAATTGAATTAAACACTAGTGGGCAGCACGGTGGCGCAACTGGTAGAGCTGCTGCCTCTCAGTGAGAAGGTCCCTGGTTCAAACCCCGGTCCAGGGGCCTTCTGGGTGGAGTTTGCATGTTCTCTCCGTGCATGCGTGGGTTTTCTCCGGGTACTCCGGTTTCCTCCCACAGACCAAAAACATGCATGTTAGGCTGATTGGTAACTCTAAATTGTCCCTAGGTGTGAGTGAGAGAATGAATGGTTGTTTGGCTCGTTTGTCTCTATGTGGCCCTGTGATGGACTTGCGACCCGTCCAGGGTGTACCCCGCCCCTCGCACAGTGATTGCTGGACATGGGCACCAGCGACCCCCGTGACCCAAAATGGAACAAACGGGTAAAGAAAATGGATGGATGGATAAACACTAGTGACCATCGATCAGAAGGGACTTTAAAATGGTTGCTTGCCTGGCAGACCATAATTTTGGATACTTAAATGCTTCAAAGCCAAACTAGTTTTATTTGAAGCTGTTTTCTCCATAAAAACCTCCAGAGCTCCATTCACCACCCGTCAGTGGAGGAGTTGCTATTCCCCGAAAGGATGGCAGGAACAAAGACGCTCGGTACCTGGATGTGTTGCTCAAATCTATGAATGGTTCGTTAGGGACTGAAGTGTTGAGTTCCTAAAGTTAGCTTACAAACATGAAACTCCCCGTCAGTCACAAATATACTTTTTTGTATTTTTGTAAACACTGCTGTACAAAAAGCACAGCTGATGGCAGTGATGCATCACTCATTTGTTCCTCAGGAGCTTTTGAGGAACTGCTCCTAACTCTCTGAACGTTGGACTCTGTGTGTGGACCCATCACCTTGATGAGTGCAGAGCAGTGTCCCATCCCTGGAGATCTGAATTTTCTGTGTGGAGCCTTGGAAAGCAGAGTTGGAATCAGGTCCAGCAGGTCTCCCACCGCGTTCAGGAACTGGACGTCAAACAGCGACAAAGGCTGTGAGAAAGACAGAAGATGAGCACCTGGTCAGCAAATGGAAAAGAAAAGTGCTGCTGCCTTTAAAAAGAGACAAATACCAACAACTCCTAACCCTCAACCTGAAAAAAGAAATATTGATGTGTTGTTTTACAAACTGACCTAAATTGAATCTTCCAGCAGAACAAACTAGAAGGTTGTACAAATATACACTTCAGTAGCACTTTAACGAGTTTTCTTAAACAACAATATAATAATGACATTAACACGATAGGTGTTTTCCCGAGAGGATGGCAAAATAAATGTCCTCCATAAAAAGCTTCCAAAAAACAAAACACGTGACGTCCCTTTAAATATCAGAGAGAAGTTTGGTTCTCTTCGAGCTTCCTCGTTTTACATCAGAACATACAAATCGGGTGAATCACTGACATGAACGTATCATCAATCTAAAAAAAGTTAAACTGGAAAATATCCCATAATAGCTTACCAGTACTCACAACAACACATGCTCAAACACCACTAAATCAAACTAATTGTAGTGTAAAATGGTTTAAGAAAAAAAAAAATTCAGGTGTGGATCCAGGGATAGACAAGACCCCAATAGACCCCTAAAATGGAAAAATCAGCATTAAAAATTACCCCTAGAACTACGGAGTGCAATTCCTAGGCCCATTATTAGAACAGCTTCATGAAATGTTAAAGCAGCAGGACAAACTATAGAAGCTTTGTCAACTAAAGCTAGCAGTGAATATACCTTATCTGAGCTCCTTCAGGAAGGACTGGACAGAAAAATGTAACCAAGTATCAGCACACTGTTAAACCTATCAGGCCTAGAGCCCAAATGAAACAAGGCACTGTCTCTCCACAGACCTTCTAAAAAAGTGATGGACTTTGGAAAGTAGCTAATTAAAATAGCTGGTACCTATGGGCACATCATGTTTGTTAGGACACGTGTGTGGTTTGAATATCTACAACCATTAAGCCAGACTTGTGAAAACATAACCATGACTATTCCAACTGCTTACCTCGTCATTGATCAAACCCATCCTAAAGCAGATAGTGGACGTTTTGATGAATATACTGCTACCAAGATGGATTGGTTTTATTTTTTATTTTTTTTAACCAGGATTATTTTCATTAATTAAACCTTTATTTATACAGGTTAATCTCATCGAGCCTCAGGGACTCACAAGAGAGACCTGATTTCTTAACAAAGAGATTTTGATCATCTAGAGCATGAACTTTGATGTTTTGAACCACTTTGGCCATGGCTGCCTCAGACGAGTTGGCGGAGGAGAGAGTGGACTCCAGAAACCATCTTATCACCATCAAACTGGTTGGTCCACTATGTGAGTGTGCTACTTATGGGATTGAGTTTGTTGTGACTCCTTGGACTGATGAAGTCTTTTGGATGAAAGATGAAATGATTCAACACAAAAAAACATCCAGAGGACCGACTGACTGAACTTTGTTGGATTGGTTTGTATGCTTAGTGAGAATGAAAGTCTCTGTGACAATGTTACATAGTGGAGTGAATGAAAATATTAAACTTAACAATATGAAAAGAGAAACTGAAGAAATAAAAAGGCATGATGTAAATGTTAGTTTAAATCAGTTGGACAACATTAGGTCCTAAAGGAATCCATCCATCCATCCATCCATTTTCTTCCGCTTATCCGGGGTCGGGTCGCAGGGGTAGCAGCCTAAGTAGGGAGGCCCAGACTTCCCTCTCCCCAACCACTTGGGCCAGCTCTTCCGGGGGAATCTCGAGGCGTTCCCAGGCCAGCCGAGAAATATAGTCCCTCCAGCGTGTCCTGGGTCTTCCTCTGGGCCTCCTTCC